TATTTAATATGATATTGACCCGACCCGAAAATTGACTAATTTAATATTGAACTAATCGGAAACCAACCGATACAATATTGACTCGACCTGAAAACAACTGATCCGATATTGACCTGACCCGAAAATCAACTGATTTGATATTAACCTGACCTGACTTATCATTGACCCGAATTAAAACCGGACCCGAAATGACCCGACCCGACTCGAATCCAACCCGAATCAAGTCTCAAACCGACATAACCTGACTCGAACCCGATCCGAATGACCCGTTTACCACCTTTAATTCTTAAATGATAAATTTGAATCTTTAAATAAATAAACTATTAAATTTAGAATAATAATATTTTTCTTTATTTTCTTTTCAAATATATAATGTTAAATTTATATGCTATAACTTTGAGTTAATCGTGATTCGGGTTCCTATCATGGTTTTCAGAATCGGACTGGTTAGTGAATCAGTCATGCTATCGGTTCATTGGTTCAACCGGTTGAACTTGTCCGACCGTTCGGAAGAACCGGACGACGTCATAATTATTTAAAAAATTAAATAAAAATACCAAAAATATTTAATAAAAAATAATTTTGTATATCACAAGTCATATTTCAAAGCAAGTCATAACATATATGAGTTAAAAACCATAAAATCAAGTGAAACAAAATGATTCAAATTAACTACAACATAATATTTAAGATAAAACATATTAAATAATAAATATAATTATATAACTATAATTAAAAAATAAATTTGGGGCTTAAAAAATCATAACAAAATCATATTGTTTGGTTTAATTTTTTTTTTTAAAAACAATCTCACATGGCTAAGAAACATAGAAGAACATTCCAAAAGTCTAAAGAGTAAAAATATTAGAACAAAACAATCCATATGGCTAAGAAACATAGAAGAGCATCCCAACTAACTTCTATAAATAATAGAGGTAATTTGACATTCAAAATCATGGAGCCTTTTGGTGAGCATAGAGTGAACTATTCTTTCACTTTAATCAAGCTCGAATTTTATGCTTCAATCGAACTTCTAGTTTTTTTTTGAGTTCAAGCCTTTTTGAGTTCAAGTTTCAATATTATATTTTGAGTTCGAGTTGAACTTGATAATTTTTAGTTCGTGAGTTTGAGTCGAGTTGAGCTTACTTTTAAAGTTTGAGTTGAGCTCAGCAATACTCGAGTTCGACTTGGCTCGTTTAACAAACGACGTCGTTTGATTTATATTAAAAAAAAAAACAAAATTGGCAGTTTTTTCCGGTTTTTCTGAATTTCAGCCGGTCCGGTTCGAATGATTCCGACCGGTTCACTAATAGCGATTCAACCGATTTAATTTAAACCGGACTAGACAACGATTCTCGGTTGAACCGATCGGTCCGGTTTTCAAAACAATGGTTCCTATAAAAGATTTTCAATATGTCATAAGATTCTCGTTCTTAACGATTTGTATTTTTTCAACTCCAAAAACAGACTGAATTGTAGATATACCCTTTAAAGAAAATATTTTTATGCATACAATTATCTAATTAATCTTCATTATACTCTATTCTCATAAGATGATACATATAATTGTCTATATGGTGTTACACCATAAGTATGTAACATAAATAATTGTAACTATAAGTACATAAAATAATATTGAGCAGTCTCAGTTATTAAAGAAATTGTTATTCTCCTTCAAGAATTTGAGTTCGAACATCTATGTTTGTAAGGTGTGTGCAATGTCAATGATTAAAAAAATTATAAACATATATTATATTGTAATCATTTCAAACTATTTAAAAAAATAAACAACATCAGTAAAATTTGTAAAGATTAATTCGTTGTTTGTTATTTTATTTATGTGAAAAATCTTACTTAACTACCTATTTTATCAATTTGTTGATTGTTATTCGTTGTTTGTGAATTAATTTTTTTATATTAACTAGAATAAATTTATTCGATTAGAATTTTATTTCACTTAAATTAATTTGAAAAAAAAATCAAATCAAATTAAGATGATAAATTGACTCATCAACTTAATTAACATAAATTGTTTATGTTTATTGTCTCATTTCCTTACCCTTGCTTCCACAAAATTTTAAAATGCTAATTCATCTTCCTATAGACTATTTCGATTGATCGATAGAGATAACACTTTATATATGGTGAAGCTGCAATATTAATAGTGTAATCATAAGTTCTTTTAAGCAACCAAATTTTCATGTCCTCACACCATTTTTTTTAAAAGGGGTATATTTTGTATTAGATAAATGAAATATACAAAATATATCATAATCAAATATCTCATTAAAAAACCTCCTTAATTCTAATTGGAGGAAAAAGAATGGACTTTATCAACAACCTAGAATACACGAATCAGCAGCAGTACGAACTCTTACAACAAACCATGGGAAACGAAAAAACACTTGCACAACACAAATATCAGGCCCTACAGCAGTAGCCCGACGCCACCTCAACGCCCTGCGCAACCAGAATGGCCTGAACCGAGCAACAAAGCACCATCGCTCACCGCTAAACTAACCAGCACAGCAGCCTGCAGAGAAGCATTCAATATTGCCCCACCAACGCAATCAACCCAGAAAGAAAGGAGCACAGAAAACAACACCCAGCATCACAACTGCTAAAACCAGACAAAACAGAGCCTCTCCAAACATCCCCAGTCAAACAGCAGACAAACCAAAGGCACCATTTACAGAAACTACCACAGATGCACAAACACCCTCAGCCCCTCAGCATATGCAATTCAAAACAGACAGCCGCCAACTAGAACAGAACAACAACGAACCAACTTCAACTTTGATTAATGGCTCATCCGGATACGATGAAGGTTTATCTTGGACTTTGATAAAAAAATTCGAGTGTTTCAACATCAGCTCGACAACTTCAACTTTTCTTTGCTTCCACCATTGCCATCTTAGAGCATGCATTTTCATCTCTATTAATAAATTTTGCTACATTTGTATATAATCTCTTGATATTTATTTTGGTATTTGATATTTGGATGATTATGTTTATTTGAGTATGATATTTTTTTTCTTTATGACTTTTTAATGTTAAGAACTTCTATGCATTTTATGCTAATATGCTTATCATTTTATTTTAGTATTTATTTTTTCATTTATTATCCTTTGGTATTCTAATCTTATTTATTATTGAATTATTTTTATATGATAAAAAAGGGAGCAATAAGTGGAAATGAAAATAAAATTTTGGAATTAAAATTTGAAGTTTAAAAATATTTTAAAATTGTTTCACATTTTTTTTAATTTTTTTAAATGAAACATTTTTAAGAGTATTTTTCTAAATAATTTTATTTTATAAAAAAAATTAGAGATTATTGAACTTATATTTTTGATATAACAATAATTGTAACATTCAATTTTAGATTTAATCGAATTTGTCACAATTTCTCAAAAATAATTCAAAGTTCAAATTAGCTTGAAAAATATGTTTAAATGTTTTTCAACTTAGTCAGACGTTTTCAAACATTTCCTCGATCATTTTTGTACTTTAAAGTTAAGTTTTTTAGGTGTTTTTACTCAAATTGTCAGTTCCTTAACAAAATGATCGATTATTTTCTCAAAAGGATCGACCCCTATGATTAGGATAGCTGATAACAAATCAAATTTAAAAAATGATCGATCCATTTTTAGGAAAGCCTAAAAGAATCAATCCCTTCTTATGAAGTATCGGTCCCTTTTAAAAAAGGACGGATCCTTCGTACTATAAATGATATTATTGTTTGTAGGTAACAACACTATTGCATCCCCAATGATTACAAATCATAAAGAGAGTATAACGACAGGTTTAAAGAATTTGAAGATCAACAAGAAACATCATAGAAAGCAAATACCAACATCAAAGAGTCTTAGCGTGCTTAATTGTTGTATTATTCATTTGTAAAACACCTATAAGCTTAATTGTCTATATTGTTAAAGTGTAATTTGGGTTAGTGCTTAATTGTGCAAACATATTTTGTATTATGAGTTTTTCTTTTGTTTGTTAAATTTGTAATTTCTCTTTTAAGTGTAATCGTATAAACCTTGAGCATTGTTGTAAGGTTATATCTTGTCCTTAAAGGTAAGTAAGTCTAGTAGATTATGAGCGTGAAGCAGAAAGAAAAATGGAAGAAAATGAGAAGTTTGAGCCCTTTCTAAAACTTCATGTGCCTTACATTTCCCCTTTAAGGGCCTAAAATGGATCTAGTCCAAAACTAACTCAAATAACGATTAAGATTGCAGCCCTATAAAAATATATCGATATTTGACGTCAAGTTTTGATACTTTAGTCATGTATTATATTACTCAGGGCTATATATTAGTACCGACTGTCCGGTTTCACAATTTAGTCTATAAAGTTGTTCCCATTTTTAATATATTCATTCTTACTCCAATTTAATGCAATTGAATCCCAATTTACCATATTTTTCACACAATCATGATATCAAAAGCATTCATATACCTAAAGTCCGTGTTAATTGGTCAACAGTATATTTTGGTTAACGAAAAATTTGAGGCGTTACAATATTCGGATGCCATTTCATAAGTGACTAAGAAAATTAAACAAGTGAATAATTATTTTAAGTGTGTTTTTTGGATGAAAAAAATAAAATTGTTTGTAGTAAGATGAATCTTACCTCTCTCTTCTCCCAAAACTTCGTCATTTGCCTGGCTTTAGTCCTATCAACATTAAGGCTAAGCTTGTGTGGTCGTTGTTCTGTTTCTGCCAGCCTGATCCAACATCATTGAATTCGTCCCAATACCTGTTCTTTCAGTTACATTAAATACAATCTCAACAGCTTGTGTCATAGTAGATGATGAGCACACAGAACTTGCTTGTTTCTTCGTGGATTATTCCTATCCCATTTGTGATTAAGAATTCAATGATGTTGGATCAGGCTGGAAGAAACATAACTCATCTTTTTCATACATGATTCTATGCAGAGAATCATGCATGAGATGGAGAATGGTAAACATTCATCTTGCAGGTTCAACATTACTCTCTTTCTCTCTATTGATAACTAGTTACCAAATTCGCACGATAATTAATGAACAATGGTTAGGTACAAAGCCCACCTCTTAATGTAAAAAACACAAGGTGTTGATTCTTGTTCCTTGTAGGTTTCTCTTTTATAACTCTTTCTCTGATGATGCCCAAGCTTTTCAGGATTAACCTTGAGGGTTGAGGCCTTGGCATAGTGGCAACCGGAAGCATATTCATGGGACGCTCTCAGAAATCGCAGTATCTTTAAGATCAAGAGTGAAGTTTCTTCCTCCTCAAAGATAGGTATGCTAAGAGACGGTAGCCGAAAATCATTGCTACTAATGCAACAACTTCCCTCAAGCCATTGTCTATTTTTATCCCGTTTACTGAAGGCATGATGTCTTGGTATTGTACTTTGAGAAGAAGCTTGTATGTATGATAGTTGAAAGACATATAGCGGATCCATGATATGAACACTGGAACTTTCTGCAAAATTGAAGATGATGATGAGTTAATATTCCTGCTTTTTAAACTTGTGTCAGGTAGATAATCGAAACTAAACTCCGGCATCGATCATTCGAGAGTTAGTAGCTTTTATGCTGTTTTGAACTTGTGAATAAAGATTTGGTTGCCGGATGCCTACCTTCACAAAATAGCCACCAGCCAGCATGAAGGTCATCACAGTTACTGAAGCCAAAGTTGTAGCTCTCTTTAAGTCCATTAATGTGGCACCGATGGCTAGTCCAAGACCCTGTCCAAGCATCCATGTCATAGGTGATTTTACATTCGGATTTGAATGCTTACGGTTGATTTTAACTAGAAGTCGTGAAGATACGTACCTGGGCGGCAACGATGCAGAGAAAAACAGTAAACATGCTATAAAAAAAGGGACCGAGACTCTGTCTCAGGCCAGCCATGAAATAGACTACCAGAAGGAAAAGCACAGGTAATATTAGATCGAGCGGAAGGTCGCTTGTAGTCCTCGCTAAAAAATAGGCGCTCAATCTGTACATGTCAGCTGCTCTTTCTTTATTAATCATTGCTCTCTCTTGAGGAAATGTGAAGATTGCAGTAAAGACAGGAAAGAAACCCCAGAACACAGCAATGAAGAACAACAATCCCGCCTGCAAGGTTCCATGATGTGAGTACCAAATTAAGTTGCAATGCCAAATATCATGATATGGTCATTCAATATTGGTACTTGCAGCATTTGAAGGACTGAAATTTCTTTTGTACTGAAAAATTGACTAGTATAGTGTTTGCTCTGATCATTTTACCTGATCTTGACGACCTCCGGTGCTTTTAGTATCTGATTGCCACCAGAGTAATCCCAAGATGACTGCGGTAGAAAGAACTTGGGTGATTCTCAACCAGCTAAAATAGTCATGCCTTCGTTCTTTGATCCCTCTGCAGAATAAGATGCAATATTGTTCCCACCAGCTTGCCCCCCATTCACGTTTCGAAGAAGACACTTTTAACTTATTTTCATCATCTAAGGGAAGAGGAGTCATGAGCTTCTTCTTCTCATTTTCTGCAACTCTCGACTCGTAGGCCTCAACAAGATACTACTTCCAAATGAAAGCACTATTAGGCAGATTACAGCTTTGATGTCTTTTGAAAAATTAGGTATGTTTGCTCCTCAAGTCACAGTGTATAGTCATGAAAATTTTACCTCATGAACAACTGTTGGTGGTGGCTTCTCATTTCTTGTTTCAGTTTCTGAAGTCCCCATTTGTACTTTGTCCTCTAACTCTGATGGCACAGATATGTCATTTATGTTTCCATTCGCAAGGTCAAGCAGAAACTCTGCTGGATTCATGGCAATGAGAGGCGAACATCCTATAGATGAGAAATACACCATTACTTCCGAGGCTCTCCCGAAGTAGAGTAAACTGCCTTTCCCTAGAAGAATCAACTTGTCGAATTTGTGGAACAGTCTACTTGACGGCTGGTGGATTGTTGTCACCACAGTCTTTCCAGCCTGCAACGAGAGCTCGGAATAGACAATTCGAATCAGAAAAAGGAAAACATAATTTTTTGTAAATGTTTCTCTTCTAAGTTCTAACATGTTAAGTTTTTGAAACAAAAGTATTGCTTGCATATGGGGATGTCAAACCTCAGCTATGTCATGCAGTGTTTGAACTGTCCTTAAAGCGGTTGTGGAATCCAAGCCAGAGGTTGGTTCATCAAGAAAGAGAAGGGAAGGATTGATTATGATCTCGTTGCCGATGCACACTCTTTTCCTTTCCCCACCAGACACTCCTCGGACAAATGAGCCACCTATCATGGTGTCTTGACATCTACGTACGCATCGTTTGCAAGAACAAGTTAAGTTTGAGTAAAATGCTTAAACATAGTCCAGAGTTTCAATACCAGAGAGTGATTTACCTCTCCAAGCCTAACTCCCGAATGACATCTATGGCTCGCTTTTCCTTCTGCTGTCTCGATAACGCCTTCGATAGTCGCAACCGGGCTGCATAGGTCAATGTTTCTTTCACTGTAAGGTGCGGAAACAGGACATCATCTTGAGTCACGAACCCGATCCTGCCATGTACACCATTATCTGTTAACTATAATGTGACGTTTAGCTGAAAGTTCAGTTGATGTAGAGCAATACCTGCTTTTAAGGAATTTAGAGTAGGGTTGATCATTGTACGTAACGGAACCATCGACAGAGGACTGATTTAATCGGCCGCCGAGTAGGTTAAGAAGTGTTGTCTTCCCACTTCCTGAAGGTCCCATAAGTGCTAGAACTTCCCCAGGATTTACAGCACCGGAGATTCCATTCAATATATCCCTTTCTTCACAAGTTTTCATTCCTTTGGTAGTCACCTTGTAAGTGACATCTATGAACTGCAGATTTCAAGAAAACAAATAAACGTAGATTTCAAAACCTGACGATGCTGCTGCAGATTAAACTGCGTTACCTTTAGATATAATGGCAAAGTAGGTTCTGTCTGAAATTTCGGCTTAGACGGTCCATCTTCGATGTCCTCAGCTGCAATGAAAATTTACTTGTTGCTTAAGAAATCTGCTATTGCACAAAAGTTTATGACAGTTTCCTTATCATATTAATTTTTTTTCAATAGTTTGGTGTGTTTGCGATATAGTTTTTGTTCAGAATTTTTTTAATCATTAACAACGTAAATACACTTTACAAATACAATTGTTTAAATCTGATACCTCTATGGAAAACAACACTCTAGTATCGTATTGAATTCAATAGTTCGTTTTAGTTCCTTACCTGTGGGAGAATTTCGATCAATTAGTCACCTAAAAGTCCGAAATCTATGCATATGTGGGAAGTCGCATTTTGGTGAGTGTGGATGAAATTGGAATAACAAACACCCCTTCCCTATCAAACAAGCAATTTCTAAAAACATCGGGACCGATTTGTCACATCAATTTTGTTCATTAATGTTATGTTCAAATAATTATTTCAACATTATGACCCCACACTTTATTATTTTGGTTTGAAGACAGTTTATTAAATTTGTTTATAGTTTGAATAATGAATTAAGATTACTGTCTGCTTCATATTATTAAAATTGAATTAATACACATTGAAGAAGATTATCAAAATTAAGAATGATTAGAGACATATATGTACACTTACGTATATCGTCGTCACTGAAGGGTTTGGAATCAGCGATTTCATCAGGCGGCACAGTGAAGCCGGTGAAGGAAAAAGATAAGCCCAAGCTAGCGCTCGAGGCGCGGCTGAGAGCAGCCCCGCTGCTCAAGCTCAACTCTTCCGTGTCCAGCTTCATCTGAGCACTCCTCGACTTCCAAATGTGGGTGTTGTTCTTGTTTCCGCCACCGCTGCTCCGCCCGGGCGATGCACCCATCATGAACCGCTTGCTCGACTTCCGGGACAGAATTCCTCCACTATCCGACGTCACCGGTGCCGCTTCATTCAACGTTGTTGCCGCAGCCGCCTGCGTCTCGATTACCAGCTGGTCCGATTTTGTTCGAGCCAAAGTTGTTGGATTCATCGTGTTCTCCATGTAGAAAACAGCTGCATGACAGCAACCAATGAAAATGTCATCTCGAAGCTTTCGGCAAAAAGGAAAAAAGAAAAAGAAATGTATGGCAAAGAAGAGTTGCCACATGAAGTGGTAACTTACATATGAAAACATCCAAAGATAAAGTTCATACATGTACGAAATAATTTCTCTAATTTAACTATTTTTTGCTAATTTATATGATGATCATGTTGGGGAGAAAAAAAAACACTGTGTATCTTGTTTGTTTGATGAGAAAACACTTTGGTTGGAACAGAAAATTGCTTTGAAAAGACACCCAGTTTTCCCAATTATGAAAAAGGTTTGAATAAAAATAAATATTAAAATATAAACCAAAGGAGGAAGAGCCAAAAGGTGAAGAAAAATAAATTCAAGTGTTTGCCTTTTGCTTGTAGCTTTGATGTGGTTCAACTGTAACAGCCAGCACTCCCAGTACTTATAAGGTGCTGTTAAACAAGAGGAAGGTTAGAATTACGGAAACACCCTTAAAAAATATTCCAATTTTACAAATATGCCTATATGATCCCATGATTTTGTGATCAAACAATGAAGAGGATAATATACGATGGACATAGTAGCACCCATCACCCTCGATGCTGCTATTGATTTGTCGTACACTTGTTCGAACAACTTTCTTATCTAGCTGCTTGATGCTAACTTTGAAGTTTGTTTACTGGAACTAAGTGATTAAGGTTATCATGCACGGTTTATCTCTTCTTATTTAGATGAAAAATTACAATTAATAATATAACAATTTAACAACTGCTGATCAATACTGAAATTACTTATTTCCATTATGAAAGAGAAGAGAATAATTAAAGATAAAAGGCGTTAGACCCTTCTCTCGGTCTTGCTCGAGAAGTTTTATAGTACCCTTTAATATTAGTCTTAGATGTAGAATTGTGATAATTACTCATTAATTTGTAAACCCCAAAAACATGATTAGCTGACGTAAATTTAGTTCTGGTATGTCGCCTGAGCTTATCAGAGGCCTCGATTTCTCAAGGATTACATAGTTCTTGAGCTTTTATATATGAAATTGTTACTACGAAGTTGATAAATATGAGATTTCTCTAAAAATACAATAAAATTGAAATATTATAAAAATAATTTATGAAAAAACTTTTAAAATTTAATGTTAATTATTTGGATGGGCTAATGGTGGAATTTGATTGATGAAATTGAATAAAGAGGAGAGTGGCGGCTAGCCGTCTAATGAAGTAGGGGTAGAAGACGCGGAGGGGCAGCTGCATGTGTGCGACGAGAAGCCAATGGGTTCAATTCTACATTACCTATCCCTCAGGGAAGCCAAGCGGCTTTTATTGCTTTTGGAGCTTTCCACACAAAAGCTATTATTTACTTCTTTTCGGTTTTGGATTTTGGTTTTTGTTTTCTGCTTATTTGATGTAATAACTTAAAACTAGCTGTGCCGATGTCTTCATTATATGATTGTGATCACACCTTCAACCTTCAATTCTATTTTAATCTTATCATCACTACGTCATATTCATATTTATTTTATATCAAATTTCTTTATTTGTTTGATACAAGAAGAAGAAGAAGAAGAAGAAGAAGAAGAAGAAGAAGAAGAAGAAGAAGAAGAAGAAGAAGAAGAAGAAGAAGAAGAAGAAGAAGAAACTAAACCGTTAAAAAGATCGCTTGATTGATATGAAGAATGACCATTGAGAATGAAGTAGGATTCTTACCCTTTGCTTCAAACAATCTTACATTCTTTCCGCACCCTAAGTTCTTTTTTAATTCTAGGGTAAAATATACTAATCATTGCTTTTAAAGTATTTGCACTATGGTTATCGAAATTTATGATATCAAAATATTATATTTAAACTCAACATTGAAAAATAAAGTAAAAATAAACAAAAATGATCCAAGTTAAACTTAAATATTAATTAAAATTTTATTTCATGGTATAATTTATAAGTATTTTTTTAATATTTATAATCTATGTTATAATTAATATATTAATATTCTCATTTTACTTTTTTCTTCCTTAAATATCATTTGTTATTTATATTTTTTGTATTTTCCATACTAATATAAGAATGACATGTATAGTAATCTTATTAGAGGATAATAATTTTTTATAAAAAAATGAAATATGGATATGTTAACTTAGATGCCTTTAATTATTTAACAGTGACGTAACTGAAGTATTTATTAATGATAATGACTAAAATAAAATAAAAACGATTTTAATAACAAAAATGAAATGCTCTAAAAGTTCAATGACCATTACTATAATTTAATCTATATTTTAACCTACTATGTTTTCTATTTACTTCGTTATTATTATCGTTTTATTTTTTGGAATTGGTAATTTGTAGGCAATGTGAATTGACTTATGATATTAAGTTGTATTAAAATTTAACGTAAATTACACGTTTAATATTCAAATTATTATTTTTATTTCATTTTAATATCTAATTTTTTTTTTTTTTTAAAGTATATATGACACTTAATAATAACATACTACCCTGCCGAATATTGTTTCCTCTTTAATTTCTCCCACAATACTATTATAATACTCATAATCGAGTGCATATATGGGGGAAGACAACAAATTAAAAATGGAGAGAAAAGAGAATATATATGTGATATTTAAAGGAAAATAAAATAGAGTAAATCCAAGTGCATTAATGAATATTCTTAAATATACACATAGCGATAAATATGTAAACCAAATACAGCTATCCAGATTCCAGAGCCTGAGCCAGAAAGCTACGGCTATGTTTTCTTCGGGTTACTAAAACCGACCATTTTATTAACATTGTCACTATTCTCATAAATTGGCCTTCTCGTTGCATCATAAATAAATATAACTTTTTTTTTATCTATTTTTATGATACAATTATTCTTATGTTTCTATAATATGATTTTTATATAATTTTAATAGGATGATGTTTCGTATTATATTCATCATGGCATATTTCTTGATAAGTAAAAAATCAATCTCTTTTTACGACAATTTATCATATTTTCATCACGACATATTTCTTAATTAATAAAAATCAACTATTCTCATAAATTGGTGTTCTCCTTAATTATTTTTAAATTATTTTTTTCATTTTCCTCTTAATTATTTTTTATTATTATTTTGATAAGATGGAGAATGTTAAAATCTAACATGTACTCTCTTAAAAAAATGATCGTGTTTGTTTTGTGTGAGTAGTTGGATGTTTAATAAAATTTCTGGATATTTTATATTTAAAATTTGATTTTTGTTAACTAATTTATTAAACGTGATAAAAAATTCAAGTAAATTTATTTAGTTTTGCTTGTTCTTATGATTTAATTTTTTTGGATACTTATTATTAGGGACCTAATTTCTATATTCGTTTCATACCACTAAAATCTCATAAATGAGCCTGGTACCAATTTGAAAAAAATATATAATTCAAGTAAAATATGTACTTAACCCTATTTTGCTTAATCTATTTGTAATATTTAATAATGCGTATAATAATTGCCATGGCTCCTCTCAAATTCCCTGGGTTGAATGGTCTTCATGCTCAATTCTACTAGAAGAATTGGCATATTATTGGTAAGTCTGTTTGTGACATGATTCAACAAATTTTCTCTGACGCTGACATCATTCCCGATATCAATAGCACGATCCTTGTTCTCATTCCGAAGGTTCATCACCCTTCCTGCTTTAAGGACTTCCGGCCAATAAGCCTATGTTCTGTCCTCTACAAATTGATCACCGAGATCCTTGTTCGTCGTCTCCAACCCCTTATGCCCAAACTTATTGCTCTTAACCAAACTAGTTTCATTTCTGGCATAAATATAACGGAAAACGTCATCATCAACCACGAGGTCATTCACTCCATGAAATCCCAAAAAGGCAAAATCGGCTAGATGATTATTAAGGTGGATCTAGAAAAACTTTTGATCGCCTCCGCTGGAACTTCATTGAGACACCTTATGTGAGGCCCATTTCCGGCCTTTCATCACGTAATCCTTTGTTGCATCTCCTCGTCCTCTATGCATGTTCAATTTAATGGTTCCCTTAGTCGCCCCGTTAACCCTGGAAGAGGTTTCCGACAAGGTGATCCCATATCGCCTTATATCTTTGTTTTCACCATGTAGAGACTTGCCACAGAATCCACAAGGTTATTGAAGATAAACTGTGGGAACCTTTCAAAATGGTCCACGGTGGCCTTCCCATTTTCCACCTCTTTTTCACTGATAATTTAATTTTATATGCCAAAGCGACCGTTGAACAAGCTAACTTATCGATCGTATCCTTGGTGAGTTTTACACTTTTTCTGGCCACAAAATTAACAAACTCAAATCGCAGGTCTATTTCTCGGATAATACCGACACTAAGACCGCCAATGAAGTCAGTTCTCGTCTTGGCATGCGGCATGTTAGGGATCTGGGCATATTTACCTTGGCATTCCTGTCATGCACAAAAAAGCAACCTGCGACTTCTATAACTTTCTCCTCGATAAAATTCATAATAAGCTCGAAGGTTGGTCAGCATTGCCCCCCTTTTTTTCGCTTGGAGAGTCACTCTCGCTAACTAAGTGCTATCTGCCATGCCAACTTACTTCATGCAAACCTGTCGCCTCCCCTCCCGCATATATTTAAAGACATTGAAAAACTTATTAGACGGTTTATCTAGGCTGATTCTGCGCACTCTCACAGTCTCTCCCTCGTTAACTGAAATACCCTTACGCAGTCTAAAGCCAATGGTGGTCTTGGTCTTGGAAAAATTAAAAACCACGACATTGACTTCCTAATGAAAATCCGCTATGTCATTGTCTCTAACAGAGATGCTTTCTGGATCCAATTATTGAGACAGAAGTATAGACTCGTGGAAGCATGTTATGAATAAGATATTAAGAAATAATGATTTGATTGAGTGATTAGGTCCATGGATTAGCTCTATAGTTGATAATCTATTCATGTGATGGAACGTGCTAAGGTTGTTAACTATGATATCCATAGTTTATTAATAATTTAACT